GTCGGGCGGGGGAGGCGGCAGGGCCTGCCCCCTCCCTCCCTGCCGAGAAAAAGCCCTTTATTTTCCTGCCAGCGCCAGGCTCTCTTCTCACTTCTCTGTTTTATTTCCCTTTTCCCAAAGATTTTTTCTCCTGCAGCAAGCTGCAGCCTGCCCTTTCCAGCTCCGAACAGCCTCGGTCCTCTCAAGTTCCCTGAAGCTGCCCCTCAGAAGCCATCTCTCCTTGAAGCCCGCAGGCGTCGGCCCCGGCCCGGTTTCTTCTTGGAACCACCAGCAGATCCGCACGAAGGCGCGTGGGAACGAGTATCAGCCCAACAACCGCAAGCGCAAACGGACGCACGGCTGGATCAAGCGGATCAGCACGCCGGCCGGCATCGAAGTGATCCTGCGGCGCATGCTGAAGGGCAGGAAGTCCCTGAGCCACTGAGGGCTCTGCCCGCGGGGTCAGTTTGGCCTGGGGCGAGCCAGAATCGAGCCCTGGAGCTGCCGCCGCTTTGGAGGGACCCGGCCTGAGCGTCTGCGATGAGGGAGAGCGTGAGGAGCCGCAGCGAGCGACTGTCCCTCGTGTCGGGAGCGCGTGAGGAACCGCGCTGGCTTGAGGGTGGCCTCCGAGGGCTTTTTAAATTGTAAAATTATTGCCACTTGGTACGTGTGAGCCCGAGATAAACTTGTGAAAACACGAGCTGTAATTAAATCCCCGTGACTCGCCTGGAGCTTCCCGCACTAATTGTTAATTAGGGAAGGAGGGAAGCTGGCGGGGTGGCGGCTGCCAGGGAGCCTTCGGAAGGGATCGGGGCTGAGGGTGGAGGGAATTCGGGGTTTACAGCGGCCGGGCCGCTGCCGCCTCCGCCCCGCCGTCCCCTGCGGCGCTCCAGGGTCGGGGTCCCGGTCCTGGGCTGGGGACAGGGCGGAGGGGAGGCAGTGCCTTCTCCTGGCCGCTCTTCTCCCCGCGCTGCTAATGAGCTGCCGCGTAATTAACGGCGGAGGAGGGCCGGCAGCGGCGCGGTCTACGCCTCCCGGCGTGCCCCGCGGCCGGCGCTACATCCGGGTCCTCCCGCCCCGCACGCCACACCCCACCCGGGCCTTCCGAGCGGGCATTTCCTTCCTCAACCTAACCCTACGCTCCTCAGCGCCGCGGTGAGTGACGGGCGCGAAGCCCAATAGGAGGTGAGAGGGGGGGGGCGCGG